CTCTTTCGACAACTTACCGTCTGCATCACGCATCGCGCAAGACTCGAGTCTTCGCGCATTTGTATTGCAAGAGAATAAAATATAATCAAAGTTTAAAGTTAACCCTTTGAGCCCTGAGCTGTTCGACGTTGGGACCCGTGCCGTGTGGGACCCCCCACTTCTTACGACGAAGCACGTTTCGGCAATATTCTAAACTAATAGTAAACTATTTCAAAATTATTATTTTATAAAACTATACAGCGTTTATAGTCCAAATCGGATGGTTGTGCGAGAACCCATATATGGGTTCATAGCGCTCAAAGGGTTAAATCTCTATAAATCCCGATCCTTTACCACAGAATTGATAAATCTTTGTCATTTCGTCGCGTTCGCTTTTCCTCGAAAAGATCACGCAATTAATAATTGCACAATTGCATGGTCCACCCTGTACATACCTCTGCGGTGAGAAAAATTTCTCCACGGGAGTGGCATCTTATCGATACGTTCCTTCAGATAACAAACAACCCGTGCAAGGAGCCCGTTTTCTCTCGCACATTTTTGCGGATAGTATTGCAAGAGGCGAGAGCAAGTTGATTTCACTCGCTGCACACGCTCCCCGGGGCCAGATCCCATCGAGCAGACTAACAAGATCGCGGAAGAGCTTGTATCTTTGTTGCAATCGTCTCGAGGATTAATTGCCGCGTTACGTAGCGCTTGTACGAATTTACGCGTGTTATTTATCCCAGATGCGCTCGAAGCCTCTTCGCGTGGCTACCCCCGTGTGCGAAACAGGGTACAATGTTCCCCTGGAGATCCGATCGCGCCTCGAGGCGCGAAATCGTGGAAAATTCCGGGGCCCTGCGGCCTTCTCAGCAACCCGGCAATCTCGATGGTCGTAAAACGGCGGATGACGTGATAACGCGAATTTTATTCAAATTCACGGCACACCGACGCAAATCACGTTAGAGAGGGAACGATCGACGACCCTTCTTTGGCTTCGTCACGTTCCGAGCTTCCAGAATCGAAGCCTAACTTTCTCTAACGTCTGCAAGCGCTGTTGGCACCTCGGAGGAAGTCAGTTGCCATGGCCGGTAGGCAGATTAACCGTTTCAGTCCCAAGCAGCGCTCACCTTTGCTGATGCATGTAAGTCACATAGTACCAACAAGCGCTATTGCGACGATTGGGATTTTGCGACATAAAATTAAACAAGCGCTATCGCGCCGTTTGGACTTCTCTCGAGACCGACTGCACACCGTGTGTGCAATTGATTCCCGAGGCTATAAGACCGGTTGCACACCGTGTGTGCAATAATAACAACGGGCCCTTATCTGATATTCTGAGTAGTCGGTCCTGGGGCCCGTGTTCGAAAAGAACAGCCGTCTCGAATGGGTTAAGGCAAGCATTATCGCGTTGTTCAGAGTTTTTCGACCGTGTTCTTCCGAAAGCCTCAAGAGCTACTTGGGTCTCAAACGGTTAAGGAAGTCAGATAGTTCGAATTTTTATCATCCGATTCTCCGTTATTTTTGTCCCAATTAACCTGTACACCTTTTGCTCGTAGAGATAGCGGAATAACTAAGGAATGACGTAAACTGTTAACGTATTTGTTGAAAGAGAAGTTTATATACAAAAATCGATCTACGACATAAGGTGTGAATAAATAATTGATAAGACCTGGATTCCGGGAAGGAATGTTTATATACACATTAGATAAGAATTGGGGATTTAGGTGAATTCGTCACGTACCTTCTTGACACTCTCTCATGAGACAGTCGCTCTAAAAGAGCACTCAAAGATAGATATACAGTGCTGGACAAAAGTATTGGCACAGCATGGTTGTTGTAGTACAAGTGCTTAAACTACTAAACAAATCGATTTGAAGGAAAAACTTTTTGACATACTCATTTATTATCTATTAAAGATACCTTTTTGACATATTCATTTATTATCTACTCATTTATTATCATTTACTATCTATTATAAATAATAAATGAATATGTCAAAAAGTTTTTCCTTCAAATCGATCTGTTTAGTAGTTATAAACACTTGTACCACAACAACCATGCTGTGCCGATACTTTTGTCCAGCACTGTATCTTCTAATGACAGATATACCTTATGATTATAAACCCCATAATCCCAATACTATTTACCATGTTTATTCGCTTGCAAATAATTTTAACGACTGAACAATGTTAACGTACGAAGTTCGTTAACAATATCGAATGATAATAAATCTGATTAAATAATGATTAATTAGTTTCAAAGCTAATCAGTCTGAAGTCCTTAAGCTAGCCTCTATGTGATACGTGTCGTTTATTTTCCCCGTCACATCGTATCGAGCTACTGGACGCGAGTGTTTGACCAATTAAGAAGATTCGCATACCGCTGTCCTTATGTATGCATACGATTAGGCCGATCTACCGATCGGTAGCCAGTCACGGTCGACTAGCTTCCTCCGAGCTTCCTTTTACCGTACACGTGTAATCGTTCAATGTTCTCATTCCAATTCGAACGCGTGTACTTGCCATCGAATCGTTTCGCAGAAAGCATATTTCGTAGTCTTATTTGCCTAATCGATGAAAGCGATATCATCGAAGATCTATCATCTTCTTTCACGTACCTTCACTTCGTGATAACGTTCTTCCAAATAATAGGCAACACCTTTGGCTTCCTCGTACTTGGCCGCCAAGGCCACGTACTTATCGTAGTGACGCTTGAACAACACGAACCTGTAAACAGAAGGTACATTAGACACGTGAGAGGACATTATCTTGCAGGCTCTCGATCGTCATCGAAACCTTAAACAGATGCGAATATTTGTAATTAACAAAAGTGAAACTAGATACGAATGGCGGGAAAAAGGCGAAATACAGCCGCGCTATCTCTCCAGGCGAATTTTATTCCCATTTATTCGGATCAAGCGTAACCTGACAGTTTCTCACGCGTTTCTCCAAGTGATCGAGCAGCCGTAGCTTCATCGTTATCGCGAGGAGTGACTCGAATAATCTCGGTATGAGACATTACGCGACGAGATGAGTCACGGATGAAACAACAATCGCGGGTCTATCTCGTTCCTTTGCCACAGATCACGCGCAACGATTCCATTGCCCTATCGACTGCTAAGACACTATACTTCGTTCAGAGAGAATTGGCAGAAAATATAACCGACCACGCGAAGGGCGCGTGATCAGGATAGGGCAGGACACCTTTATATGACCCCTGTGAGGATCCTCGGCAAGGGTCCTTTTGTGGACAACTTTTACCGTTGCCCATTGTCTGTCAACGTGAGGAAACTCTTCGTTGGAGCTCTTGGAGCTGAGGCCCAAGGACAACAGCCACAGATGGGGATGCTAGACGCCAAACTGGGGAGTCTGGATCGGAGCTCAGCGGAAGAGGCTACGGAGAGGGGACGCGCCCTATAAAACAGCGGATTCATTTTTGGGGAACTATCCAACCAACGTACGGAGAGAATAAAAGAGTTACCCAGGAGCAAAGCGGCTAGTTTATTAAAATCCTTCCTACATTATTCTAGTCAAGTATGGAACGCCCTTAACACGTTTAGTGCCCAGGCTGTTTTCATAAAACTCGGAGATACTGTACCAATCGTTATAATACTAATTTCCAAACGTTAGATCCAAAGATGTCGAAGAATTTAATACCAAAAGTTAGCACCTTTTGGTCCTAGTCTGGGCCAGTCCATGAGGACCGACCGGGCCCGAACGGAAAGTCTAGCGCCGGTCCCTGGGGATTCTTCCTCAATGACATAAATTAAAAACCAACCTAGACCTGGCAGTGTACCGTCTACTTTACTAAAATCCTTCCTACACTTCGTTACTCGTCCCAGAACATGGACGTTTGGACTACAAGCAAAGGGAGCGTGATCAGGGCAGAACTGGAACACCTTTTCCTGACCCCTGCGAGCACCCTCGACAAAGCTCCTCCGTTATTCGTTCCCGAATATCGACGTCTGAAAGCCACTCAGCTCTAGCCATAGCACTGACCACGTTTCGTTTATATTTTCCGCTTTTTCTCCGAACAGAGCATAGATACCCTAATGAACGCGGTCTCCCGTTAGAGACCTGCCGTTTGGAAACCGGAAGTCTGCTCGGGTCCCACGCGAGAGTCGAGGTAACGAGCGATATTCGCGACGACGTCGAGAAGATGGCAGACGACCTTTCGGTCATGGTGCGCCTCTTGGGTTCCCTCCAGTCGCTCCGATCGATTTCTCTCTTTCTGTCCCGGGATTCCAATGCTCTCCGAAACTTCCTCTCTCCGGCTCTTTTTCTCTTCCACTGGTTCAGTCACTGACACTCGCACCGCCGTTACACGGCCCGTCCATTCTCCCAGAGACTTTCGCTTTCACGATTCCTCGAGACGCGCGATACGCCCGCTCCGGGATCCAACGACGATCTTCGCGTCTTCCGGGTTGCCAGTCAGGCCTGGCTCTGGCTCCTCCACGCGCCGTCACGCCTTCCTGGACCGAGTCTCCGTCGCGCGAAACTAGCCTCGATGTAACTCTAGCAGGATCCCGAAGGTGACGATCGCGACACGATCCACCGATTCCGTGATCGGGGTCTCTCTTCCATGCCGCGTATGAAACTCGGGAATACCGATTCGAAAGCTGGGTCTGATTCATCATCCAGGTTGCTCGCCGGTTTGTAAAGCGATACGCGAGAAGAGGATCTAATTGCTGGGGCTGCTTCTGTTGGATGACTGAACGTCCACGGGTCGCGGGGAAAAGGGCGGCTGAAATTTCGAATTTTTACTTGGGATTCTGACGATTGTTCGGCTGGATTCGTCAATTTGGAGGGAAGTTGAGGACAGGTTGTGTCGTTGGCTCGTTCCGAGTGTCGTGACAGAGTTTCTCTTTTCGGTGGCCTTGAGCTAGATGTCCTGTATTTGCACGTTGAAATCTCTGCCTTCTTGGAAGATGACGATTATCTGGTTGTTAGAACTGTGACGAGACAAATTATTTCTTTCCGTTAATCCGAGCTTGACATCGGCCACGGAAGTAGTGGAAATCAGCAGGGAATTGCCAGAGTATTCTCAGTACTCTGGTATAAACTGCGCAAACGATTTCAGAGAAAGTTGCCACTGGTGGACCATTGTTCGGCCACAAAAGTACACGACCGTAGAAAATGGTCGTTAAGGTCGAGGCGTATTCGCCGAAGTACGGTGGATTCAGGACCCGAATGTGTATAAATTGAATAGAACCCAATGAAAAGCAGCCAATGGCAATCCAGTTTTCCCTGAATCCCACGAGCGATGCGTTATCTGAAATAGCACCTGGTACAGCTGACTATCGAAGCAGCACGATTCTCATTAATCATCGTAAATGCTGCATCATTCGATCTCTTTAAATATCACGGAGATATTTCATAAATCAACAAATACGATAATTAATAACCTGTAAATCGATGGGCGTTTAAATTTCTAATAGTCTAATATTAATATTAGAATGTTTCTATAAGCGAGCTGATAGAAATCGAAGTAGATAAGTGTACCAACTGTCAGTTGCTAACGGGCGTCACAGTATCGATAGACGTTGCTATTCGATGCTCCAGTTATTCGAGTGCCACATAACACAGTAACGTAGTTTGAATTTTATATCGAGAAATGTCGCAGTATAAGATCCTGTTACGCAATTGACGATGCGCTAAAAATCTACCGCAGCGCCATCTCAGTCCGACTGACACCTACGATAATTACGAACACTGCGCTGCCGAAATTTCACGTCGAAACTTGGAACTACGTGGGCGCTGTACCGTGCAATCGACAGCGCGATCGAATTGTACCATAGCGCCATCGCAGTCTTATTGACACTTTTCGCTATTCAGGTTTTGCGTTGAAAAGTGCCAGTGCATCGGGCCATGACGCGCGACTAATGGTACATTCGGATGCTACTACTGCCTGTCCTGCCTTACACTCGGGATAAATGCATTGCTTGTTCAGATTTCATTATACATCGGAAAGTATCACAATGTCCGGCCGTGATATGCAATTTACGGCGCGTGGGAATCGCACAGCAGCGCCACTTCGGCCTTACTAATACTGGAGATAAACAAAGCCCGATCCCGCCACCTGACATTTTCCAGTTTAAACGGAAACAAGGCCACTGCGTCATTCGTGACTTTTCTGTAAGATTTTTCCAACGAATTATCGCTCTGCTTTATTGCTCTATCGATTAATTCTCGTATCTCGTCTATCTTGCAGAGATCGCGGCACATTTGCAACTCTAATTTTTAGTGCGGCGGACCCTATCAACATGCGGTCCACGAAAAAACGAGAAACCTCGTCGCGTATTCACGCCGTACCATCGAACGTTGCCTTGTCACGGCAGGACTAGCCGAAAAGGAAAATTACGCGCATTGTTCGTGGATATACGCGCGTTGCATAACGTACCAGTAGGTAAAGTAGAGCTAGTAGGGTAATACGTATTCCCGACGTGGCCCGTAATATCGTAAATCGAATCGCTCATCAGCGGGGAAATTGGCATACGAATTAGGCTGTCGTTTATTACGGCCAGCGATTTGTACGGCCTGCACGACGACGATTTTCAGGCAACTTTCTAAGCCGAGTATCCCAGTGAAAGGGTTAACGGATGCCCGAGTATCACCGCGGCCAAAGATGGCGCTCTAACCGCAAAAGGGTGCGTTATTCTCCTCTTTTTCTCCGACTCGAGCTATGTGTGCACTTTTTTTTTCCAGAGATCGAACGCGATGCACGCGCGGAAGAAAGTGAAGATACGCTTCTGTTCCCGCGTGTTTTCGGAGCAGAGGTGAAATTTTCGTATCAAGCGGGTGTAACGAAATCTACCATTAGCGAACATTAAGTTGCTAATACGAGCGCTTTAATGCATCTTGCCAGAGTTTAGAGTAGGTATTTCAGGTAGCGATTACTATCTCCTATGTACATATTCCGATTCTTCGTATTCTGAGAATCTTTTAACGCTGCTACCCGAACACTGTATATAACATATTTTTGCTTTCTGTTGCAGATAAAAGAGAAGAAAATAAGAGAGAAATTTTTATTGAGGTTATAAATCTTTTTTCCCGCGTTGTTTCATCGATGAGAATAAAATCAAGTGCTATATTATAACTATTCGTGTACTGTCGAAGTCGCCAGGGTGGCGCTAGTGTAGTTCAGAAGATTGGAGGTTGATATATTTCTCGTGATTTTCAGTGGAAATCGATTAAAGCAGAGACCCAACGACTTGACCGATTTGGAAGCTTTACTCTCCAACGATCCCTACTTCTCTCTTTGTCAACAGAAATAGACCGAGCACGATATGAAACGATAATCCACAGAAACTAGCTTCACCCCGTGCAGTCTCCGAGCCATAGGCGCCTGCAGATTCGTACACGCTGATTCGATCTTTGGAATTCATAATCCTGCGAAACCAGCTATTCTGCTAGTCTATATGGAACATCTGTTTCAAGCATACACGGTTAATTATTTAATCGTACAAATCTATATAATATTACACAAGCATCTCGCTCGTATCTTGACAGAAGATCTCGAATACTGTCGGCGTTAATGTTGCCCGAATCAGCGAGAGAAACATAATAGAAAAGTGGAATTATTTTCCGATCGTTACTCGCCAAGATCTCCAAGTTAGCCTCGTTCCTCTAAATGGAACCATACATTTTCATGGTACTCGTCTTACAACGAACTACACAGTATTGTAGCTGGTTTAGCTATAAAAATAAAACAGTACGTGTTACTAGGT